GTACGAAGAACGGGCCCCAGGTGTGGAGTAGGTAATGTTTGCAGTATAAATTACTATGGTGATGCACCTTTGAGTACAGATACAAGGGTCAAGTTCTGCCTTTGGGCTACAAACAGAGCTTTCCACCTGGATCCTGATCCAGGACGCAAGTTCAGATTAAACTCTGACTTTGTTCATCCGGAGATTAGATGAAGTTGTTTAACAGACTCTGCCAGGTAATCCCTCTGACTCCTCCCCTCCTGCTCCACCTGAAGCAGCTGACTGAGTTCATAAAACACTAAAGTTTCAGGTAGACATCAGTTTTCTCTATCACAGCTTAAATAACCAATCAGACGTGAGGACTGACAATAAACCGAGCGGGTGGAGGGAGTGTGACCCCTCAGGTAACAGCGAGACTCGGCATCCTCACCCAGTGTGGGACAAATGGTTTGGGCTGCAAAAACGAGCGGCCTGGAAATGAAACATAAAAGCTTCTGAAACAAGCCGAGCAGACAGAACCCACCCACAGAAGAACCGTCCACAGAAAAAACAGCCACAGCAAAAACTGTCCACAGCAGGACCCGACCTGAGTCACAGTGAGCTGATTCATGGGTTCATGCTCGGCGCCCAGTGTGAATGGTGGCGTTCACTCAGACTGATGATCTGCAATCTCCTGAGGTTATGTGTAATAAGTTTCTTAATTTCTTTGTGGATAAGGTTGCCAGTTTGAGATCCTCCACTTTATCTTCTGTTGGCCTGGCTGTGCATGTTCCCCGTTTAAATTAATTGTTCTACCTGAACTAGAGAAGCTTGTGTTAACTGCTAACCCATGTGGTTCTCCGAATGATGTCGCTCATCCCCGTTTTCTAAAAAAAGTGTTTCCTGCTGTTGGACCACGTATTCTGAACCTAATTAATACCAGCCTCTTGTCAGGTCAAGTACCAAGCGAGTTTAAGCTTGCAGTTATTCATCCCTTACTTAAGAAGCCAGGCTCAGATATTTCAGTTCAGTCAAACTTTAGACCCATCTCTAAATTTCTTTTTCTGAGTAAGATCTTGGAAAAGGTTGTTCACACTCAGCTGATGGATTATCTAAACAACTCTCAAATGTTTGAAGTTTTTCGGTCCGGCTTTAAGCCGTTTCATAGCACAGAGACAGCTGACTGCTGCATCTGACACAGTGGATCACGACCTGCTGATCTCTCGATTACAGCTTTGTGTGGGCATTTCTGGCTTGGCACTCCTGTGGATAAAATCATATCTCTCAAACAGGAGCTTCTGTGTTAAGTTGGGCTCGTCATCGTCCTCTGTGGCCCCTCTGCCGTGGGGTGTACCACAGGGATCTATTCTTGGGCCATTACTGTTTAGATTGTATCTCCTGCCACTGGGTGTGATCTTTCGTAAACACAAAGTGTCATTTAATAACAATAATAATGCTAATAATAAATTTTTATTTATGAGCACCTTTCAAGTCACCCAAGGACACTTTAAAATAGGATAAAACGGGTTAGGGTTAGGCGCCCCAGCCAGGCGCCCCAGCCAGGCGCGCCAGCTAGGCGCGCCAGCTAGGCGCGCCAGCGTTCACTCAAGCCGGAAGTCTTCAATTTCATTTATATGCTGATGATTGCCAGTTTCATTTTCCTTTCAGTCATTCTGATAGCTCTCCAATTAGACTCCTGCTTGATTGCCTCAGTGATGTTAAGTCATGGATGGCTCAAAACTTCTTAAATTTTAATGAACGTAAAACGGAAGCAATTCTGTTTGGCCCGAATCGTTCCTCTGATATCCCTGATGTTGAACTTGCTGCTCTGACCCTTCACCTGAAGAGCTCGATTACCAATCTTGGGTTAAAAATCGACTCTGCACTTACCTTTGATGGTCACGTGAATGGGGTGGTGAAATCATCATTCTATCAACTCAGGCGTCTGTCGAAGGTTAAACCTTTTCTTTCAAGGCATGATTTGTAGACTGTTATCCACGCTTTTATAACCTCACGCTTGGATTATTGCAACTCCATTTTAATAGGGGTTGGGCTGGCAACTCTGACACGCCTGCAACTAGTCCAGAATGCTGCGGCACGGTTTTTATCTGGTAAAAGGAAATTTGAGCACATTACTCCGGTTCTGGCCTACCTGCACTGGCTTCCAATTGAATTTAGGATTCATTTTAAAGTTCTTTTATTGGTTTTTAAATCTTTAAATGGTCTGGCACCTGCATATTTAGAAAGAAAGAAAGAAAGAAAGAAAGAAAGAAAGAAAGAAAGAAAGAAAGAAAGATTTGTCTGATTTGCTGAAGCCCTATGTCCCCACTCGTTCGCTCCGGTCAGCTGAGCAGCTGTGGCTCTGAGTCCCCAAATCACGGCTGAAACTGAGAGGAGACCGAGCGTTCTCTATCGTGGCTCCTAAGCTTTGGAATAATCTTCCTCTTCACATTAGGCGATCGACATCAGTGATGGTTTTTAAATCCAGATTCAAAACGCATTTTTATTCACTGGCTTTTGACTCAGTGTTTGACTGACTTTAATTATATTTTATTGTTTTCGCTATGTTTATTATTTTATCGTATTTATTAATTCTTATGGTATCTATTATGTTTCTATTGTTCAGCACTTTGGTCAGCCTTGTATGTTTTTAAAGTGCTATATAAATAAACGATGATGATGATGATGTTTGGAGACGATGAGGTCGACGTCTAGCTGAACACACACCTCTGTGGTTAACATGATTTCTTACCTGCCTCAGTACACCCGTGTGCTCCTCCCTGCTCGTTGGTCAGTGGTGGTTCGCTCCTTCAGCAGATTAATGATGGCGCCCACGTCACTGAGAGGTCGCATGCTGCAATTCCTGCTTGAACCAAAGAGTGGTGTGAGGTGGTTGGAGTAAAGGTCCAACAGGTGGACCAAACCATCTGCTTTGGGGTTATTGTTTCCATGGGTTCCCCTCTCTGTGTGTATGGTGGTGTGGTTGACTCGGGCTCTGTGGTGAGGTCAGGCGGTCAGCTGACCTCTATCTGATATTAATGTGGTTTTTGGCATGTTTGGGGGACCAGCACCCTGCTGGGAGCGGCATACCTGTACCTGTCAGCTGGTTTCCATGACCACAGGTGGACTCATTGTAGGGCCTGAGGTCTAGTTTCATTAAGGCAGAGTCTGTGTTACTGTCTGTGAAATAATGTCATTATTCTGGGACTTCCTGTGGTCAGCCTCAAACCTGCGGTTGCTAAAATGAGCAAAAACCCTGGAAGCTGCTCGGGGATCCATGGTGTGACGACAATCAAGATCTTAGTAGGTTTTCTTGGGTTTAATGAGCTTTCTCACAGTTCAGGGAGTAAACAGCGGTAACGTGGAGGTCCTTTAACCCCTTGCCTGCTGCCTTCTAACACAATATTTTAACTTTGCAGGATAAATGAGGAAGAAGCTGAGTCACAGCGATTCTTCTTTTCACAGGAAACATTTTCAGACATTCAGCACATTTCTGCCCTCCAGCTCTCCAACAGGAAGCAGAAGAAATGCAGCTGGCACAGAGGACGTGGCTTCCAGGGCTCTGAGGTCCCTTTATACTGAGCTCTCACCTGCAGGGGGAACCTCCTCCTCCACCTGCTGCAGGTTTCTTGTCCTCACGTGCTGACACTAAGAGTTTTTTTCTCTTTGTCACCTCCCCTCTGCATGTATTATTGTAGGGTCTACCTTATAAGAGATGACTGTTGTGATTTGGCTCTGTATAAATAAAATTGAATTAAATCTAGTTTAAACTTAAAAACAAATATCCTTCTCCACCACCAGCACCTAACCAAAAATAAGAAATCCTGAAAACTGCAGTGCCTCTGGTGTCCAGCAGAGGCAGCAGTGAGTCATAGACTCCAATGTTAAAATAAACATGCTCACAGCCTGATACACAAACTGGTCTATATAGATACCAAAGCAGCTTCATGTTCAGAAATTGTATTGAACTTGGCATTATTAAGGGTGTGGCCTCTGTGACTGATGTGGATGGTGAAACAGGTGGCTGTAGCTGCTAGCTTCACCTGAACCTCCACCTGAACATTGGAGGTGAGCTGACTGTTGTTGACCCTGATATGTGTGTGTGTTGTGTTTCTCATGAGGAAGCATCAGAACAGTCTGATCCACGAGTACATTTTAATGGGAGCTTCAGTCCTGACATGGGCCAGCAGTTTGGATATACAGATAGAAAAGTCAGAGTACATGAGGATACTAAAGTTTATAAATGTGAATCAGGACCTGCTGCACACTCAGCACACTCTGACTCTGTGACCTAAACAAGCTTTGCAGGTAAAAAGGTTACACAACCTCCTACAGTCCATACTCAGGGCACAGGAGCCCCTTTGCAGAGATGCATGGGTTATTTAAACCCTGCCCCAGACTTTCAGGCAGGTGAAACCTTCACAGACGACTCTCCTCCTCAGGCCCCACAGCTTCCTGTCTATTCTCTGATGATGTCACTTCGGGAGAGTATGAGATGGCGGGAGAGTCTGACATCGAAGGGCTGCAGAGAAAACACAGCATCATCTCTATCATCCTCACAGGCATCGTAGCCTGCAGGATCGTACCTGACTGCATCACATGGTTTCGTACCTGACTGCGTCCAGCGCAGCGCCACCGCTGCTTTCAATTGTGACTTTGGTAACGGGCAGAATGTAAGCGACATGCGAGGGACCTGCCTCTACTGGCTCCGCCTCTGGCCTATTTACCTGAGAGGTGGCACTTGCTGTGAAGAAAGGGGGCGGGATTTGTTTTAAACTTCTTTAACTTTCAAAAGTGACCTGTCTGTGTCTGTGTGTGTGTGTCTGTGGGTGTGTGTAAATCTGTGTGTGTGTGTGTGTGTCTGTATGTGTGTGTCTATATGTGTGTCCGTATGTGTCTGTCGGTGTGTGGGTCTGTGTGTAATTCAGTGTGTGTGTGTCTGTGTATGTATTACTGTGTGTGTGCGTGTGTGTCTCTGTGTGATTTTGTTTTTGTATGTGCGAGTGAGTGTTACCGCGTGTGCTACCGTGTGTGTTACTGTGCGAGAGTGTGTTAGCGTGTGTTACTGTGTTTGTGTCTGTGTTACCGTGCGCGTCCTCCTGCTCCTCTGCACCTCTGGATAAACTCTGCTTGTATCGGTGCACAGCTGGATTTCCTCCCTTCAGGAAGTCTTCGGCAATCTGCAGGTAACGCTGACACACAACAACATGGTCAGCGTCTCCTGGGTCAGGTGGTGTGTGATGCTTACCTGAGGCAGGTGTTGGTACCTGTTTATAGTCGTCAGTCACCATGTTGCCCATTGTGATGAGCAGTGAAGAGAATGAAGGTCTGGACTGAGGTTTCTCTTCCCAGCAGCGTTTCATCACGTCGTACCTGCAGACCGAAAAGTGCAGAGGGTCATGCTGAGCGTTGTCACAGGAAGCTGATGTGTGCGCCTGCATGCGTTGTGTCATACATGTCCTCAGGAGCATGGTCGGGTCGACTCATCCTGTATCCTCTCTTCAGAGCAGAGTAGAATTCCTGGGTCATGGGGAGGTCGGGGTACGGGCTGCAGCCTGGGACCAAAACACAGAAACCCTGTGGTGAGGGGGCGGAGACGAGGCTGACAGTAGTGAGCAGACACACCTGTCACAGTCGACCAGAGGGGAGTGTGAGGCTGAAGGAGATCTCACAGCGACGTCTGGACCTTTGTTCTTGTTTTTGATTGAAATGTACAATAAATTCCCTTTTTTCTCTTTGATTAAAGTTAAGTCTGTTCTTCTGGGCTGTGAGGTTGCTGGTAATGGTTTGTTCCAGCTGCTGGATCTGTTTCCTGGTTTTGAACTGGTTTCCAGTTAATGACCAATTTACAACTTCAAATTAAAACTGTGTGTATAACTTTAAAGGGTAAAGGTCAGCAAGAAGAATCAATAAACTTCAACCAGTCCACCCCCTGTTAATGGTAAATGGTAAATGGCCTGTATTTATATAGCGCTTTTCTAGTCCCTAAGGACCCCAAAGCGCTTTACACAACCAGTCATCCACCCATTCACACACACATTCACACACTGGTGATGGCAGCTACATTGTAGCCACAGCCACCCTGGGGCACACTGACAGAGGCGAGGCTGCCGGACACTGGTGTGACAGACTGGGTTACCCAGAGAGAATATCTCCCACAGCAGAACTCCATAGGACCAAACATCGCTCTGCGAGCTGTAAATGTTCTGGAAGATGCTCTCTGGAGACATCCACTTCAGCGGCAGGAAGCTCTGAAACACACAGGTGGGTGCACAGGTGAACACCTGACCTGATGATGTCAGGAGCCCTCAGTATAGTTGACTGAACTGGTTAACTAACGTTTCCCCTGGCGATGTAATCCTGGTCCTTCAGCAGGTCTCTGGCCAAACCAAAGTCACAGACCTTCACCAGCTTCCCCTCGCACACTAGAATGTTCCTCGCCGCCAGATCTCTGTGCACACACTGAGGGACACACAACACGAATACAGATAAATAGGTAAACAAGGTAACATGTGAGTACATCAACTGGTCAACAAAACCCTCGTATCTCAGTATCACTTCCTGTTCCTGTTACATCGCACAGTGGTGTCTTGATGCATGCTCATGCTCCAAGTAAGGAAATCCCTAAAGTTGACTGTGTTCATCTGGACATTTTCAGTGGGAGAAATGTTTCACCAGCATCAGGTGACTTATTCAGTCTCAGCTGACTGCAGGTTTCAACCATATAAACAGGACATTTTAACAGTGACTGAAACTTGCACCACTGAAAGAATTGTCAAGGATGTTTGATATGAAAGGAAGGTTGGAGATTGGCCTATAATTAGCTAAGACTGCTGGGCCTAGAGATGCTTTTTGAGTAAAGGTTTAACTACAGCCAGCTTGAAGGCCTGTGGTACATAGCTGATTATTAGAGATAGGTTGATCATATTTAAGACTGAAGCATTAATTAATGGCAGGACTTCTTTGAGCAGACTTGTACAGGCCTCTGGAGTGCAACCAATTTGGTCCAAATGTGACCAAATTTTTCAATGGTGCGACTAAAAAAAAATCCTAGGTTGCACCAGTGCGACCAACTTTTCGAGTAAAAAAAAAAAAAAAAAAATTCCCTGCAACACATTATGCCCCTATCATGGTCTAAACCAATCAGAGATAGTCAGGGGCGGGACCTCTCTGAATAGCTTGAATAAAGCGATATCGATTCATTAAATCCTGAATCGACTTTTAAATATTACTGTATTTTGCCAGAATTTCAGGTTAAAGCTCTCAGAACTATTTCAACAACCACCAAACAGCAAATGAGAGCAGGTACACGGATTCTGCACAAAGAAGTAAACACAGAGCAGACCCGACGCATCAGAATCAGCTTTGTCTTTCTCGGCTTTCTCACCCGACGGCCATTGAGTTTACGTGTTTTTGCGCTGATTCTGAGCTGCAGGTTTTGTCTGTCTCCAACCAAAATTCACTGACTAGCAGCAAAAGAAGATCCAAACTATGATTCACATTTGATAAATGTCGTCATTTATTAACTCTTACTTTTGCTGTTTTGCTTCCACCACGATAAAATCACACTTCATGCACAGTTCTCTCTCTCTCTGTGTACTTCAAGAACAGTTTCCCATCTCAAATCTCTGTTTTCTGCATTATTCATTCGCTTATTACCCACCAGTCTACCGTTGATCAGTAATATCTTCCCCACTCGCTGTCTGAGGAGGGTGCACAGTATCCTGCGGGACCAACATCACCCTGCGCGCCACCTTTTCCATCTGCTGCCCTCAGGGAGAAGGTACAGGTCTATACAGGCCAGAACATCCAGACTGGCCAACAGCCTGTATCCACAGGCTGTGAGGCTCCTGAACTCTCTGCCCCCCTCTCACGGACAATAACCATATCCAACTTCTTAATAGCAATGAACTGGTCTGCATTGGTGCATCATATCTTTATTCTCTTCCCCCTCCTGCCCCCCCTCTTTCTTAAATACATAACTATCATATCTGATATCATATCTCACAGTACAATAATATTGAATGGGTTGTATTGTTGTATTTTGTCATGTTTCTCAGGTCTTTGTCTGAATTTCTACGAACATTATTGCTAAGGATTGTCTTATTGCATTGGAGTCACACTGGGTTAAATATGTACACTTGGGTTTTAAGGGGTATTTATTATGTTCTTCTTTTTTTGGGTTGTATGGAAGCCCCAAACGCAATTTCATTGTTCTTGACAATGACAAGAAATAAATACTACTACTACTTGCTTACAGCGCTGCCGGCCGCTAAAAACCAGGAAAATCTCCTTCATGTTTTTCTGTGTTTTATTCTCAGTTTCTTTGACACAAAGACATCTGCTGTGATGCTCACACCTCTGATGAAGTCTCACAATTGTCAGTACTGATAAAGGATCAGAATTATAATATTTCTGAATGTCTGAGAAAAAATTGAATAGAATCAGGAATTTGTGAATCGGAATCGAATGGATTGTAGAAATCAGTAATGGTACCCAGCCCCAGTGAGCAGCCTTGGCCTGACAGAAGTGGATGTAGCTGTGGGTAATGAGAAAAAATGAAAAGAACGATTGATAACTTTTTTGTTAAGTTAAGGCCTGATCCGTCTGAAATTCATAGCCAGCTCTGACATTGTCTACAATATCACCAAAAAGAGCCAAAGCACTTTAAGCACAAGCACTTTTTCAGTAACTTATCTTTCTTGTAGAACTGTGCTCCAAATAAAGAACTTTGCATTGACAAGACTGTTAGTTAATTATTTACAAATCAATATTGTCTGTATGGACAGCAATTTCCCCCCCGAAAAAGTGCACATGTAAAACTGCGGTTTTAAGCAATGCGGTTGAACAATTTGGATGCACCTAACTTTTGTGCTGGTGTGCCTAAAAAAAGTTAGGCACACAAGTGCAACCGTGGCAAAAAATTTGTCTAGAGCCCTGCTTGTAGGAATGTGCTAGTCTAATTTGGTTGTATGAGGTCAACATTGACCTTCTGTGTTGTAAGTTATAATGGCTGCACAGCCATTAAGGATCAAATCAGCTTCTAAATAATTTTCTGGTTTTTTTCCCTCTGGATTTTTGCTTTTGAAAATAAAAGTTGGACTGACTTGCATTTAATTTGTGTGTAAGCAAAATTTAAAATAGTATGCTACCACAAATTGTTTTTTTAAATTTAGTAGCACTTGAAATGTTTGCCAGTGAGTAAACAATTAGTATTGCATAGTCAAGAACATCAATTCATTCTTAGTACTCTGTACTGTGTAACAAGAGGTGTCCTCCTACCTCTTGTTACCCCCGTTTCTGTTTTCGTACTTTTTATTTTGACTGTTGTGTGCTTTTTATTCTTGTTTTAGCTTTGTGCCTCTCTGAGAATAACACATTAATCACATATGATCGGCTAACTTGGTTAAATTTCCAGCGACCGCTTTTTCATGAGTCGGATCCACATCGGGATTTTGGAGACGCTACACTGCTGAGTACCTGTCTGCCTAAAGACAATCTGCCTGCCTCCACCCACCCTGTTTAAGAGGTCCATCAGGAAGCGTAGTAAGCATTCATTCTAAATAATCTTTTCCTTACTCTACACCTGGATGTGTTGTTCCTGACCGAAACTTGGATTCGCTCCAGTGAGCTCCTTTCTAGATGAACAGAATCAACTTTTGGAGGCTTTTCCAAACGCCTTCCCCCTGACTGTGTTTTTTTTTTCAGATTACCAAGACTCACAGGGAATGGTGGAGCCATGGTCTTTAAAAACAAACTTACATTTCGGCGACTGCCTTCTCCCACCTTCTCCCACCTTCTCTAGCTTTGAGGCTCAATTTTTAACCTGGTGTTCAGTCTGCGTCTCTCCGCCATCTTTCTTTGTGCATTTTGTGTTTGGTTTAAGTTGAGTTCTTTAGTTTTCCCCAGTTTAGGTTTGTTTACTCCCTGCTCTGCTCATCCTGTTTTTGTCACCTTATCACCTCTGTAAATAAACTTTCACTCGCACCCTTGCCAGTGCCAGCATTTTGGATCCTTTTCTCAAATCAAAATCAAATCAAAATTTATTTATATAGCACATATTAAAACAACAGTGTTGACCATAGTGCTTCACAGTCAATAAAAACATGAGACAGTTAAAACAAACAATAGAAGAGGACAACAAACAATAGGTAACAACGCAACAAGCTAAAACAGCCAACTAGACAGAATCAAAAGCCAAAGTAAAAAAATAATTCACCACATGACTGCTGCGCAGCCGTGACATGTTTTTTGAAGGCCAAGAAAGATGCCAAGCAGATTTACTTTACCAAGTGGATCATCATGGCCTTGCCATATTGGTCCATTTAATTGACCTTAATTATAATTGTGTATTTATTTTATTAGATTTTCGGTTGTTACAGACGGGACAGACATGACTGGGGGATAGGACAGGGAGAATGAAAGAAAGAAAAAGATGGAGAGAAAGAAAAATAGAGGGGAGAAGAGATGGTGAGAAAGGAGGGAAAACAAAACACCTGGATCACCTGTATGGAGAAAAAAAACAGAAGAGAAAACAAGCAAGAAAGAGCAACATAATAAATACAACACTATCACAACAAACTAGCTAGCAGTAGATAACAGTAGATACTAAATATTAAATGTTATTGTGCAGCACACAAGATCGACAGCGCACAATGTGCTTTGGGGTAGCAGCCAAAAAAGGTGAAGTTTGTGTCTGTGAACACCCGTGTGTACACCTGTGTGCACACCTGTGTGGATCAGCACGCTTGTATTCAAAAGGTTTCTCCATGTAACGATCTGCTAGGGAGTGTGGGGAGCCATAGCCCCGCCCCCCCAGGGCATGAAGCAGGTATGGAGGAGATCCAGGCCCCAGACATCCAGAGGCCCCAGAGTACGAGGACCCAAGGAGGACCACCAAAGGGGCAACTGTGCCACCCTCCTGGGAAGAGCTGAGGAGAGCCCCAAACGAGAGGTCACCAAGCAGCCACAAATAGACACTCTACACACATTCACACTCCCCAAACATATTCTATATCCCAGGTCCAGGTACCCCCGCATCCCAAACCCCAATCTGACGGCCAGCACCTCCTCCCAGCACTCCAGCCCTGACAGTTAACAGAATGGGTGTGGGAGAGGACCCCAAACCGCCCTCCACCCGCTCTTATGTAGTGTTGCTGCGTGCTGTTCTAAAGTGCAATTCAAACACAGGAGGGCATGGTGCTGCTGCCAGAGAGCAGCACGGCTCCTCCCAAAAACCCTCAGTGTCTATATGCATTTAAAATTGAGGGTAGGGCACCAGCACCAAAGATGGGTTTGAATACACAGACCATCCTCTGGAGCCTGTAAAACGTGCCCACCCCCAAGGACCTATATGTATGTGTTATGAGAGTATGAGTAATGTGGATGTCTAGTTTGCAGAATAAAATTGAGGCACAGGTGGCCAGAAGGGGACAGAGGGAGAGTGCCTCCCCTGCACCCTC